TGTTGACTGAACTTTATCTGCAGTTTGTGCTACTGTTGAACTGTCATGTAGCTGAAAAGTGTTTATAATACTGATATGAATAAAATGTACAAAAAATTAGAGACACCTTTCAGTTGTGCAGGTGTACACTGGCAGCTAAGTACCACAGTGTCAACGGTTAAAATCCAGATCGTCACAACTTCTTTTTTAGGTCAAAAAGTACACTACAGCGTTAATGCTTGGCTTATTTCTAGTTAATATTGTATTTTAAACTTAGTGTGTTTTTGTGTTTTGATTAATTCTGTGTGTCCTTTAGGGAAAAGTGTTCCCTAAGCTGAGGAAGAGGAGCAGTGCAGCCAGGCTTATTGACCAGGACAGGAGCGATGAGGAGCAAACGGCTGCTGACTACGTGTTTCGCATCGTCTACCCCGGATACCGATACGATGCCAGTAAGTGACACTGCTAGGCACACTGGCACAGAGCATCCCCAAAGCAGAAGTGGCTGCTCATAACAACAATGAACCTCCTTTCTATGGCTAACACTGATCTGTGTGTTTTTAAAGTACGGTGGTGTTGTTTCCACAGTACCTTTCCCCAGGCCTGTAGGGTAGCACTTTTCTAACTGTGTTCTCTGTTGTCCCACTGGTGCAAGCAGTCACTATAAACTACCACCACACCACGGGCAGCCGCGCTCCATCGCTGGACGATGACGAGGAAGAGGAAGATAGGCTCCATGCTATGATCTCAATGATCTGCTCGCGGAACCTCACAGACCCTAATGTCATGAAAGGTTTTTATCACCTTAACACACCCACCCAATCCCACCGCCCCTCCACCCCCCCACCCCCCGAGACCTCACCCCGGCTTCAGACGTTGTTTCTCGCCTCCCACCCCATCGTGTCCTCTCAGGCCCTCTCCTCCTTCCCCTCCCGACCCCACCTACCCCAGCTTCGTCTTCCTATGTGTGTGCTGCCCGAGGCCAAGCCCAACAGTGTACAGTAGGCTGGGGTTGGCCATATTAACAGGGACATGGGGAAGTTCAGAGTGATCAACACACGGCTGAAAGGTGCAGTAGCAATAAAATCACCATTAATACATGATTAATGATTCAATTTAAGACACTACTAGGCCTTTAGAGTATATATTAACCTATTGGGTGGGACAGTTGACTGCCTGTGTGGGATAAACGTTTCTATCGTCTCTGTCATGATGTTAATAATGGCTCCACTAGTCATTTTCAATAAAATAATAATTCAACTATAGGAAAGTGTGAAATGAATGGGGTTGCCTGTAGTGACCAACTCTTAAAGAATTAAAAGAGAGTCAGAAATGACCCGTTTGATAAAACTTTTTAGACTCTTGTAACTAATTTTAAAGGAACGTTTATTTCTTAATTCATCATCTTTTGTCCAGCTGCAGCACTGGACAGCAGACAGCCAAAGTTAGCAGCTAGCTGTAGACCTTTAGGTTGCTAAAAGGCTCGATATTTATCTTGGGAGTTGATGGAGACCAAATCAGAATGTAAATGAGAGTGGACACTAGACTTCCATCCATTAGGCAGACAGAAACATCTCACCAAATGAATGCTGAAGTTTCTCTTTGTCTGCTATGTGAGGGCACTGTTTCCCAGCATGGTAGCCAAAAACGTGTCAAAACATAAAAGGATCCTGAGTTTCTGTGCCCCAAGTGACCAAAGAAAAAAAAAATCAGTGAACGTACCTTTGGCTGTATTATACTAAAGTATGGCAATTGATTTGTTATTGCCATCAGTGTTACAAAATGCTATATATTATACAGTTTAAGTACAACATGCAGAAATCCTACAAGCTACTTCACTGGATGACCACATGGCCTTCCATTTGGGTTGTTTTGTGTCAGAGGTAAAGCAAGGTTTAAAGTTCTCTGCATGTTTCACTCCAAAACTTACTCAGTTGCACACCATCCATCATCAGAGGCTTGTAATAATCTGCAATATGATGTATGGTCTTCATCACACAACATCTTGATGCAGCGGGAACAAATACTTACAGTAAGTCAGTAACCAGGTTTTAGGATTATTTCTAGAGCCAGATGTCAGCCGATTCCAACCATAGCACTTGGTTCAACAGCAAAATACATTTTCAGGTTTTCTACTGCCTAAATACAATTTGTTGTTCCTCTCTGCTGTCACACAAATGACAGCTGGAAGTTAAGTGTCCCTGGACATTGTAATCTGGTACAATAACATCCTGTCTTTAGAAAATGGTGGCTTTGTCATAGACAGTTAATACACAGAAGCCACTGACACACTCCCCCTACAGACCTTCTGCCTAATTTCACTCTCTCTATGTCTCCTCTCTTTCCTTTCACCACTCAGCAGCCCAATTTACTCCACTTGCTTGCCAGGGATCCTTATGTAATCCTGTGAAACACACTGCAAACACACACTGTCGGATGAACTGACTTGCTCTACAGAGAGCGCTGCCAAACACGGTCGCTGCACACGTCTGTCACCTGGTTTCATCTCAGATTTAAACTTCCCCAGGTCTCCTCGTCTCGGTCAAGGCCTTTCTGGCTTCTTTGCATTCTGGGACTTGCAGTGCTGACTGCCTTAGCATTACGAGAGGGTTAAGCTCTTGAAGCATGTCTCAGCACTGTTGGGTTTACACTGCCGTGGCCAAAAATTGCTTTAATGATTTGCTTAGTTTTTGTTTTTGTTTTTTGCACTCCTTTAATTTGACTTAACTCTGTTTCCTTCTTTTTGTCCTTTCATTTCTCACTGGCAACATGCTTGACAATTTTTGCATGGGGAATATGCACCCGTTTCATTGTTTTTTTTAAAGAACGACTCTGTGTTTCTGCATATTTGTGATGAAAAATCCTTTCTCACAGTCTCCTCTGTTTGTTTTTGATTTCTCTCTTTCTCTCTCTCTCTCTATCTATCTATCTATCTCTCTCTCCTCTGACTTCCTCAGTTGTTTCTCCTCTGTTTGTGCAGTCGTTTGCTGCGATGCTGTTCACTGTAATTCTTCACTAACCCCGCCACCCCACCCTCCCCTCACCCCTCCTCCACCCCTCTCATTACGGTCCTGTGGGGTTCCGCAGTAGTAGAGACGTGGAGTCCTTGTGTGAGCGGGGTTGCATTACTGAGCCCAAAAACAGTTGTTGATCACATCTAGTCCTAAAGTAAAGAGGGGGAGGCCAAATGCCGGTCTCACTACAGCAATTTTTCTGTTTGCTTATTTTATTTTTTTTCCCTTTTTAATATTATTTGTTTTTTGGGGGTTATTGAAATACCAAAGCGCAGCTTCATATTTATGACAGGTCATCAGCTCCAACCTGAAGAATTAAGGTGAAGAGCATTTATTTAATGTTGACGTTTTTATGATTTTTTTCCTCCCCTTTGTGTGCCCTTTAGCTGGTGTCCATTTGTTTTGGTTGTTTCTGAGATAATTTCTTTTGGTGTCTCTTGTCTTGTTCTGGCTTTATGCATCCTGCTTGGCCTGAGCGTGAGCCTCGTCCCTGCCCTCTCCTCTTCTGTCAGCTCCTTCACTGCCTCTCTTCTTCCTCTCCTGTTTTCTCCTTTCTCCTGTTCGTCTGGAGCATCCTCCTGAGCTCTGCTGTCTCTTCTGCCTCCTCTCTGAATAAACTGAACCAGCATGGCATCCCTGCATCCTCTCTGCCTGTCTCTCCCACAGCACCGTACCTGCTTCCTAAACCGCCCCCTGCCACTTTTGGTTTCCTCTCTACGCCTGTTTTTCCAGCTCTCACATGTAACATGAGTGTAAAACTTTCATCCATCTACTCATCTCTTATTGTCATGAATAACAATCAAGGATACATGATGAAATGTATTTATGGTTGAGCTGAGGGACCTACGTCATAATATGTAAGACATAAGACATAGCCAGAGTGAAGCGGATGTAAAGTCTTTAAAACATGAGGGTGGAATACATGAAAACAGCAGCATCCATTTTGTCTCAGAACACTGAGACCTCTCTCTTTCTTCTCACTTTCATTCTCTCTGGTTTAGACCATGGGGAGATGATGGAGATGCAGGGTTTCGGAGGCAGCCCGTCGTCGTGGCAACAGGCCGAAGTAACCACTCACGAGTCTCTGTGCCAGTCCTGCTCCACGGCCGGTAGCAACGTGTCATTCGACTACCCAGCCAGATGTACCTGCATACACGACCCATCAGATATTCACACGTATGCAGTAAAAACCAAAACTTCCAACCTGCCTGTGCCTGTTGAAAGTGTGCTGCAGCGTGTCTTGTTTTATCTGCAACAAAGTAGTGGGCTTTGTCATGTGAGAAACATTAGATAAACGCTTTAAAACTGAGTCATTAAAAAGAGTAAGAACTCAGTAACTACAAAAATGATGTATATTATGGGTTCACAACAACACTCCATTTTACCTAAACCAAGGAGAGAAAGACAGTTTGTCCAGCTTCTCTCTCTTTCTCTTCACGAGAAGAAAAATCATTTATTATTATTATATGTGACTATTTTGTATTAAATTATTATTGCTTATATCATGACAGTGAATGTCAAGTCTTTTTTCCTATTGGCTCATTGTAGATGGCGCCTTATGTTTCAACCTATAGTCGGTTTCCATACCATGTAAGAAACTCTAAGTCATACATCCCTCAGACAAAGGCAAAGGCATGGAGCCTCGTCTTCATTGCAGTCATTCAAGTTGACCAAGGAACAGCTTCAGAAGGAAACTCAACACCTGAGAAGGGCCTTAACTCCCTATTGTGTCACAAAGACATCTTACATTAATGGAACACTGGTCAGCCTGACTTGGAAAGGCGACCATTATGTTTCTCTCAAAATGAATAAACATGGAAGCAGCAATTCTAAACAGAAGATCAACAGATGATAGTCATATAAATTAAATGATCATCTTAGGGCTTATAATTGATTTTACTTCCATCATACTGTCACCAAATAGACACAGTCAAAATCAGAATCAGAATCAGCTTTAATGGCCAAGTACGTACACAAAATACAAGGAATTTGGTTTCGGCTGTTGGTGTCGCCCTATTGCACGAATAATAGAAATAGGAAAATTAAAAATTAAAATAAAATAAAGTAAAATAACTAAAAAAAAGAAATTACAATAAATATTAATAAAAAATAAAACAACATAATAAGACAAATATATACAAGAATTTACACATCTAGTAGAAAAAGGTATATGTCAACAGTAACAGTCAACACTGTTTCAGAAGCTGAGGTATTTCCTAGTAGAAAACAATGATGGTGAATAAAAGACACTGTGTCTGAATTCCACACAACAGCACCACCGTTAGCCAAATGAAAAATTTGCCCTGTTACTTTAACAAAGAAGTAGAACTATCTGGTTTCATATGGTGGTGTGGTGGTTAGCACAGGTGGCTCACAACAAGAGGGTTCCTGGATGTGGGCCTGCTGGTTGACTGGGGTCTTTCTGTGTTTGCATGTTCTTCCTGCTCCTGCGTGGGTTTTCTTCCTCCCACACTCCAAAGACAGGCACTGTAGGATAATCCTTGATTTTAAATTGGCTGTAGGTTTGACTGTGTCCTTGTGTTTGCCCTCTGATGAACTGGGCAGGCCAGGGTGTACCCCTTCAGCTCCCTATGACACTCCATGGGATAGAGCGGGTGTAGCTGATGGATGGATGGCAGGAAATTGGGCATATTTGTGTACCTTTTAGGTACCCGTCAGTGCTGGAAAAGATTCTGTAAACAAAGTATGTTGACATGACCGTTAAAAGACACTGATGTGCTAATCTCATGTAATCTCTTTTCTTCCCACCAGTGTTCCTCTTAAGATGCTCTGCCAGAACATGAAGAGGCAGATAGTCTCCAGAGCCTTCTATGGATGTAAGTACATCATGTTCTCGCTGCACAGTACTCAGCCACATGCAGCTTATTTTTGGATATTAAGGCTGTGCTATTAATTATGCTCAGCTTTAGGTAGTGTATGGTGAAAACGTTATGCTGAGACTCCATATTGTATCATGCAAGGCAGCAATTTGTTAACTGATCATTCATATATGAAGAAAACGTCTCCATAAATGAATGCACTTGCAGTCTGCCTGTTGAATTTTCTTTTCAGTTTGCTCTCAAGATAATTTTTTCTCTGCTACAAATGTAAATGTAGGCGTTCAGTTAATTTGATGTATTTTTTATGTAACACAATAGAATGTAAGAAGCAAAACAGAAGGATTTCAATGTAATGCATACGGATATTAAACATATATAATTGCCTTTCAACAGCAGCATCTCCCAGTGTGATTACCGTAGTTTAATGTTCCACCTGCTGTTTGTTGAGCCTGGCTTCCAGGCAAGTGCACAATTGATTTTAAAATCAATTAAAGTAATCTTCAACATAATATATGGACTCGCAGCTGCTGGTGGTTAAAGTAATAAGTTTGGCTGTAGTAAAATATCCCTCTGAAAAAAGCCCAGTATATAATGAATAGTCTGTAATGAATTGCTGTGGAACTTAATGCATTTAGGGTGTTATCAAAACAGCATGCATAGGAGTGAATTCCTCATTGTTTTACCAATGCAGTTTGTTAATTGAATGTAATATAATACGAAAACGATAAAATACAACATTAAAATTTGAACTCAAAAACATTTGATTCAACAATGGACAGTTTACCACAATGCCACATTTCCAAACCTTTTAAAAACATATGTTTTGGATCGTTGGCCTTTTACTACGCACTGAATAATATGTATTCATTTTGATTAATTAATTATTCAGCGTCTCCATTTTGTTTTTATCAAGTCTTGTCATATCTACAGCATCTAGAGGGAGTTCTGTGTTGTAGAAACTTGCTCAGACAACCTCTTGTGATTTAGGTCTGTATACAAAGAAAATGTATTTGTCCTGACTGTATTGCCACTTGGTCTCAGCTGTGCACGTGTCCCTGTCTCACCTGTCCATCAGGGCTGGCCTACTGTCGACACCTGTCCACAGTGCGGACTCACCTGTCGGCTCTGGTCAACCACAACATCGTCCCCCCAGACAGACCCTGTGAGGCGTCCGGAGGGCTCAGCAAAGAGGTGTGGAGCAAGTACCAGAAAGACTGCAAGGTGGGTGCAGACATTAAACTTGTAAGCAGCCACTCAGCATGAACTACAACAACATAACAAGAACGTTAATCTTCCTCCACCATGCTCTGTCACCCCTCCAACTCCCACAGATATTACAGCAAATTGCCAAGTCAACACTGAGTCGCAGATATTGATCAAGCCCCAAAGATAAATTATGGTTATGTGGTGCTTTATAGAGACGGTGCAAGTCTGATTTACAGTGAGAATTTATAAAGTGGGATAATTTGATGCACCCAGTGTGGAACACTCCCTCAGAGGAAAATAAGGAACAAAGATTTTGGAGACATTAGACCAGGGGTGTCGACATCCGGTCCTCGAGGGCCGCAATCCTGCAT